TACGGGAACCGCCCGGCCGGCTCCCGCGCTCTCTGCCTGGCCCAGCAGTCCGGCCTGTGGGCAGGGATGCGCCGTGTGGTCTAGCTTCCCGCCGCCCTGCGCGGCCCTGAGGCAGAAAGTTTGGGGGTCGGGAGCGACCCTCCTCCCCGCCAGTGACTGCCCAAGGACTCCTGCAGCCCGGCTTCGCCCGCCACCTGCCTCCGCTCCCCAGGTCGGAATGAACTATCCCAAGCCTCCCCCTCTTCGCCCTTCCCTCATCCTCCTTTAAAAAGATATTTTCTTAAATTCAAGAACTCGTGATCTGCCTACTCCCCTCGTCCATAATTTAAACCCCAGGTCTTTTGAGTGCAAGAGGGGGTGCGGTCTCCGTCAAGACAGCACGCTAGAAGGACAGATTCCCCTTGCCGACCCACTTACACCATGAAGAGGTGCAAATCGGACGAGCTGCAGCAACAGCAGGGCGAGGAGGATGGGGCTGGGATGGAAGATGCCGTTTGCCTTCTGCCGGGCGCGGACCTCCGGCCTGGGGAGGCCTCGGGTGCAAACTCGGCTGGCGGGCCAACTTCAGATGCTGGCGCTGCGGTGGCACCCAACCCGGGTCCCCGAAGCAAGCCTCCTGATTTAAAGGTGAGCTCAGACCGTCCCCAGGCAAGCCCAGCCCGCCACGTAGCTTTCCCCACCCCACGCAGAAGTGTCTTAACAGAATAAAAGTGATGGAGAAGCTCGCAGAGGTCAGAGAAGATGAACGACGTTCCCGCTAGGACCGGAGGGGCAAGTTAGGTACCGTTTGTGCCTGTCTATAAGTTCCATTTCAGGCCTCTGTGTTCTTCATTATTCAGCCAACGGTCTAATGACTCACTCATCCGAGATTGTTTGAAGAACGTGTGTGAAATGCTATTTGCAGACAAAGGGCTGGAGAGATCCAAGATGCTAACTTAGAAAGTTCACAGTACTCTTCCTTCTGTAGGAAGGCTGGGGAAGAAGATCGCCGCACGGGATGCTAAATAGGTTACCGCTACCTTCCTATGCCAATTAGCCTTCTCCGGGTGGGATTTTTGAGCATCTCCCTGAACGAAGCTCAGTTTGTCTATCTATGAAAGGGGGCTGTAGATGTCTTGCCGTTAGGTGGAGCCAGAGGTTAAGCTAGTGCTTGGAGATCCCTGTCTGCCTGCTGAACCAACCCCCAGGGTGGAGAACTGACAGGTGGCAGGGCAGAGCTTGGGCTGGTTGGGGCCTCGGTTCAAGTTGCACACATGCTGAGACGGCAGCCAGAATCAGAATTGGAAAAGGCCGTTCACATGGAGCTGTTTATTTTCCAGCCCGAGGTCTTCTAGACAATCGGCGAGCTGTATTGAATATATCTCTATGTCAATTACTGCAGCAGCCGGGATAAATAATGCGTCTTTGCTGGAGTTACCACCAGGACTGCCAGCTCAGGCTCCTCGGGCCAGTTCACTGCTGGGCTGAGAGAGATGTCAGCCCCAGGAAGGAATTTAGAAGCCTCGGGGATTGATGCCTTGGGAATTTTCTCTGGAGAGGGTGCAGGGTCTGGGATAGGGGAGCAGAAAGGACTCCCGTTAGGTTAAAACCGTATCGCCTATGGCTGTGGGCACTGAGGAGCTCTCCAGAGTAAGCCAATGACATTCCTTCTTTTGCCTGAAGAGCTCAGAGTCAGGAAGCCAGGTGAGTGTGTGTATTCTTTTGTGTGTGTGGTGGTGCGTGTGTGTTCATTTGTGTCCCTTGGGGGATGGGAGCACCTTACTCCTTGTGTGGTCTTGTAAAATTTTGTGGAAGTTTTGCAAATCTGACCTCTTGTTCACCAACCTTATGTCTAACCATGGGCTCCGTTGGACACCTAGGCTCCCTTCACAAAGCTTGTGGTTTTCATCAGACCCCAAGAAGTGTCACTCCCTCCCCCAAGTGACATGTTTCTGTTTTAAGAGAGATGACAAGCACAAAGAAGTCCCTTTAATGCAGCGGGGAGGAGCGGGGTGGGGGGGGTGATCTTTTGGCCTCCCTCTGCTAGCTGTGGTATGGGGACTGCAGTATCCCTGTGTATCTAAAGCTGCCCGAAGGTTGGTGTTTGTACCCTCCTGTATTATCTTTTTTGGTGACACTCGTTTTGGTCAGGAGCAGATAAAGCAACAGCTCTGCACTCGACTGTAACATATTAACCGCTGGACTGTCTTAAAGGAGAATTGAGAATTGAGGACCCTCACCTCCACACACACCCCACCTCCACACAGCCCGGCAGTGTGGACCCAAACAAGGAGACCATGGCAAGTGCAGCTCATGCAAGTGCAGGGAGCCGGCAAAGCTCTCCTGCCTGTTTATCTCTGTCCTCTTCATCACAACATGTTTACTGCAGGACAGACTTCTCCACCAGATGTGGCTTGGGGGCCACCCCAGTTTGGCAATGTCACTTAACTTTTCAGAGGAAAGAGACAAGGGATATTGGAGTGTGGCCAAACTTGTTTTCCATTGCTGGACAAGTTTTCCATGGCTGACAGTTCAGTGGAAAAATTTCATCATTGTCTCTAGAAGTGGGTAGAAGTTGACTTGTTCTAAATTTGATGATGGTACCAAAAGGGACATGTTTCCTTTTTAATTTGTGATACCATTTGTCCCATACTTGTGTTTAGTTGATGCTGTTCAGCAGCCCTGGCTTGTTTTTGCTTTCATTTTGAACTTGGAGATAGGAACTTTCAGTCCCTAGGTCCCACTTCTATTTTCTTATGACAGCTCTGGGGTTGTGACTGATAGAGTGCTATGGAGGAAATAATCTTGAGCAAGGAGCAAAAGCACGAAAGGCTCTGTCTAAAGCACCTCCATGGTAGGAGAGGAAGCAGAAAATTCCAGTCTTTGCTAGAAGCATCTGAATGTTTGACTAGTGATGGCCAGCAATGTCAGGGGCTTCTACTGTCTCTGGTTCTTTAAGGAACATCATATTGTGTGTTGTGCATTTCTCGGTTTATTTTGTGTGCGGATGGGTGTGGGGGTGGACGTCCTGAGATCATAACTAGAGTCTTGAGCATGCTAGCCTGAAATCTGTGATTATGGAGTGGGTAGGACCCGTGGGGTGGGGGGAGGGAGAAAAATAGCTGCGTAGTAGCAGTTTTTAAACGGTAACTAAAACAGAAAAGCAACCTGCAAATGGACCTGGCCCCACAGGAGGCTTGTGTAAACACTTCTGAGGCTTGCCACAACTTCACATAAGCATGTATCCTCCAGGGGAGATCTCAGCAGACAGTGTGTAAGGGTAGCGTGACAGTTTAGCATGAATTCCTGTCTAACCACCCAAGCTTATGTCTCCAATTCATTTGTTCTCTTGATCCCATCCTTTGCTGCTCTCCGAGTCCGAGCTTGTTGAGGATAGATGCTGGTGACTTGTCACAGAGTCTGCTGGCTGACCAAAAGTGTAACAGCATTCTCCAGCAAGGAGACTGGCTGCAGTGAGAAGGGGTGTGGAGAGGCACTTAGGAGAACTCTACAGACAGAGATCCTGTTCAGAATACAGCATGTAGTTGGGGCCTGGGTGAACGGTTGAGCTGAGCGTGTGGTTCTGTCCTGAGAGCTTGGTAAGCCTGAGATTGGGCAAAGGCATTGCCCATCTCCCACCGTTCCAACCCCATGGTTCAGTTCAGGAACAGAGCCCTTCCTGGGAGGAAAAGCCTGAGGATGCTGGCCAGGGAAAGTTTCCAGAGGTGTTCTGTCTCCTTTTAGAAGCCGGATTTCCCCCTGGGATTTCTGAGCAGTATCATGGTCATTCCCTGAAGAAAAGAGGGAAGTTCCACCACCCGTTGTTCCCATCTGGTTGTAAGCACTTTTCACTCCAGAATCCTTTGGGATGGTTCAGACCAGGTCCTTCTGTTCATACTATACCCTCTTCTCCCTTCCTACTGAGTGAGGAGCAGAGTGGACAACAGACGACGCCAAGGGAAAGCCACAGCTGAATCCTAGTGGTTCTCCTGTACGGGTGCTCGAAGGTGCTTCAGTGCCCTGCAAATGGCTCACGAGCCTTTCTTGTTCATCAGTGCATTGGCAAGAGGGTATGTTTGTGCAGTCAACAGATCCCGGACACTTTCAGAGGGGAAGATGTTATTATAAACAGTGAAATGGGACATGTATATAAAAAAGTGCCCACAGAAAGACATGAATAAAGTTTAATAAAAGCAAAAATAGACAGATCATCTATTCACTACCAAAGTCAAGAAAATAATACTGGCATTCCCAAGCCTCTGTTGGTTGACACGTGGTATCAGTTTTTAAATGAAGGAGAAGACCGGCTACTTTGGGGGTGGGGTATAAAGACATGTGTGCTTCCTGGGACTTTAGATAATTCAGTGACTGTGGGGTACGGCTACCTGGGACCGTACTTCGCCCTGGAGTCCTGCTGTCATTTAGCAATGGTGTGCTCAGACTTGAAGACCCCTGCACTCTGTGGGACATGGACCCCTGAGGTAGATTTCATCTGGGGAGATAGGCTTGAGGGAGACCTAACCCAAGAAATGGAAACTTAGTTTCTCAGCAAGGCAACACCAGGATGAAACACTTGCAGGAAAATCCCTAGGCTTCAGTATACTTGGAACACCCTGTAATGGAATCTGAAACAAGAAGGGTGCTTGAAGGAGAGATGGCTTTAGATCAGGATATCAAAGAAAGGGCAGAGCGCTAATTAACAAACGAGAGGAGAATTTCCAGCTAGGATAATAAGATGACGAGAACCAAGACCTCAGTATAGTCTTTGCCCTCTTCCCCTTCCCTGTCAGTGTCAGGGGCCAGAGAACTCTGAGGAACGCTGAAGTTGCTGGTTTTGACCCATCTGTACCCGTCTATACCTCAGGACAGAGGATCCTAAGGCCCAGGACTGCCCCTACCCCTCTAGCCTGCAGCAATATTCAGAGCAGCCCTACGTGTGGGCTCAGCAGGAACTAGGGCCGGCAGGAAAGCATGTGGCAAATGAAGCTCTCTGTTCTCCTGCCACATATTGGGTTCTAGATTCTCTCCCAGATGCCCTAGTTGCAATTCAGTTTACAGAACATGCTTCCTCTTGGTGTGTATCCAATTGCGGCTTAGTTGCCAATCCCATTAAAGATGCCTTCTTCTATAAGGAGTTGAAACATTCAATAAATTATGAATATGGAGGTGGGGTTAAATGATACTATGGACAGGGCGAGGCTCGGTGAGTTCTCAGGATGTGGCTGGGTGGTCTCACTGCCAATCCAGAACCACCCGTGTTTACCTCTCCCATGCGACTTGACATCTCCCTTGGAAATCCCCACCAACTAGGATCTCTGGACCAAGGCCCTGGCTAAACAAGGGTCCAAACATAGGAGTCTCTCACCTGAATTAAGAAGTTAAAACAAAGCTGCTTGGGGTGGGGGAGGGAGGCAGGTTTTGGATTTGACTTCTCAAACCAAACTACCAAAAGTTTCCTCATTCCAGCCAAGTTAGCTAAGTGATATCCACTGCAGGATGAGGCTGACTACAAGGGCACGAATCCCCAGCAAACCCTCCCTGAGCCACTTG